TTCTTCTGGGAACTGCTTCCAAGTGTTTCTTCAGTACACCCCCTGCTCCTTTCTCCTACCTATACGGTTCTGCTGCTGTATGATCCTGGCCAGAGTTGATGGATTCAAGATCAGATTCCTAACCAGAGCCTAGCAAACCATTGTGACTTGCCTCTGGGCTTTGATTCATTAATTTAAGGGAAGGCACCTGAACCAAGAAGGATAGTGTGGGGGTCTAAATCTCATGTTAGACTTGGGATTTTCTAACCCTGAGAGTTAGCTCCTCTTTGGTAATATTACATGAATATTACCAAATATTACCAAATTATAGGGAGATCTTGGCTGCATTGGTGGTCATGTTTTCTGCCTTGAGGAAGAAACTATTCTGCAATGAAAGACAATGAAGTGAGATTAAAAAATGGGTCTGAGTATGGTAGATCATGCCTATTAATCCTAGCACTTTGGGAGTTCATGGTGGGCAGTACAGGGTGATCCCCAGCCCCTCTAGCTAAACACTCAAATGGCTGCAGCAGCAATGGCAATAAAAGAGTGGGAGCTTGTCCTCAAGGTGCACACAAGTATGCTGTAGCTGCAGGCCTGGTGCTGGGGATGTGGGTTGTTGCCAAGTGCATGCCCCTTGGTCCCTGGAGGCAACAACGGCAGCAGCTACTCAGGAGGCTGAGGCAGGAGGATCTCTTGAACCCAGGAGTTTGAGGTTGCAGTGAGCTATGATGAAGCCACAGTACTGTAGTCTGGGTGATATAGTGACTGTCTCAGAAAAAAGGAAAGAAGGAAAAGGAAAGGAAAAGGAAAAGGAAAGGAAAGGAAAGGAATAAAAATGGTATTCTGGTGAAATTTAAATTCCTGGTTCCACTGGAACCTCTATATCCCTGCAGTTCTTGTGGTTCCATTGTGTAACTTTAGAGTTACATAATCTATCCCAGTGGCTTTCTAAAAATTTCCCTTTTCTGCCTTAGAGTTGAGTTGCTATTGCTTGCAACCAAAAGGATCCCAATATAGTTAACTTGATAAAAATTTTAAATAGTGGTACATATGTTCTGACATATGATACTGTATTATTCTAATGAATTGAAGTGTTAAGTTAGGTTTCCAGGTTTCACAATGCATAGAGAGAATGCAATTTATTTTAAAGCAAGCTGTTGAGATGAACTTTGATTCAGAAATAAGCATTGCCAGTTAGTGATTTATTAGTATTTTTGAAAATTGCTATTTTTTGTACTATTAGGCAGTTTTGTAACCTTTTGACATCTGTATTTTTTAGATTTTTCTACACTTTTGATTTTCAAATTTGCTTTTTAAAATTTTAAACATTTTGCTTAGAATCTAAGTTATTTTTCATTGGGGGCAGAGTATAGTAGCAAAAAATTAGAGCAATCTCAATATGTAATAATAAGGGATTACCATAAAGAATAAATAAGGAACTTCCATCCAGTATAGGCAGTACATGTCTGGTCTATGAAAATTAGGTCAACTTAAGGAACCCCCTCCCTATATTGTCCATCTTAAGTTGACCTAATATTCATAGACTGGATGTGCATGTACATGTCAGTACCAAGGACCTAGTTCCTTATATTGTCCACCTCTGTATGTTGACCAGTTTGTTACAGTCTCTTGGGTGGTCAACTTACAGAGGTTCAATGGGGCATTAGTTGGAAACACAAATATCTAATATGTAAAAACTTGTGACTAATAGGATTAGAGGTTTTTGTTGCTCAAACTTTTTTTCTTAGAAAATATCTAACATGGAGTATTAAAAATAGAAAACTAAATTATGAAATACCAGAAAACATAAGCAGACAAAACATTTATGTCCTGTCACTCTCACTCTGACACCTCTCCCCCCAATCCCCATTCTTGACACGGTCAGAGTTAGTGGCTCCAGTAGCCCCTTGGCTCCAGAGTCAGCATGGTAACCCCCCTCCCCCCCAAGAGTTACTGCCTCACATAGGAAAGCTCCTCTGCCTTCAGCCAGCCTGCATGAAAGTAGTGGTGACTGGATGGTGGCACCCTCACAGGCTGTGGGGTCAGAGCTGGAGAGGGTTGAGATTAGGAATAAAGGAGTAAGGAGTTCAAAGGAAGTGGGAGGAGAAAAGGGAGTTTTGGTAAATGTGGAGGTAGAGGGCCGCAACTGTCCCTGTGTGTAACCTGAGGCAGGTCCCTTCCTCTTTCTAGGCCTGTTTTCCCATCAGTACAAGAGCAAATTAGGCTGGGTCACCTCTGGGGGCCAAGTCAGCTCTAACTGGCTTTGATTTGGGGAGTCAGAAATGGAAAGAAAGATGGTCCCAGGACAGTTACTGTGACAGTGGCAGAGGTGACCAAGCAGGGTTGATTGCCATGAACAGAGATGGGGGCAGCAAAGTGCTCAGGCGCCTCATTGTTTGATGGAAGGAGATGAGGTAGAACAAGATAGCAGATGTGCAACTAGAGTCCTGGGCAGTTTCGGTGGTGGTGAGGTACATGCTGAAGAGGCATCTGTGGTTTAACTGAAAGAATTCTTGGAGTTGGATGTACCAGGGTTTGAATTACAGATATACTGTGTCCTAGTCATAAGCCTCAGATTTTCTACCTGTAAAAATGTCTATAATAATTACCTGGAAGGATGTGAGAAACAAAATGAGAACCCAGAAAAAATTTTGCACGCTCTAAAGCAGGCATCCTCAAACTACAGCCCGCTGGCCACGTGGCCTGCCAAGGACATTTATCTGGCCCACTGGGTGTTTTTGCCGCCACTGCCTGTCCTCTTAGCAGCTGACTTGTCCCGGGGCCTGCAGTCTGGCCCTCCAATGGTCTGAGAGACAGTGAACTGGCCCCCTGTTTAAAAAGTTTGAGGACCTCTGCAAGACAGTCCATTGAGGGACTTAGTAGTCACTAGTCATCGCATCAGTGTCAAATAGTAAGAACTGCAATACTACTTTCCCTTACCTGAGTGGGTGGAGTGTACTAGAAGACTCCCTCACCCCCACCATCACAAGTACATGTCCAAATGTGAAGGACATGTGATATTTATGTATAAAAAAGGGCAGCAGACTGAGAAATTCTGGTGTGTGCAAAGTTCTGGATGACTCAGGTAACCAAGGTTGAAAATTGGCTCTACTTAATTGTGTGCTTTGGGGAGGTCTTTCACTCCTCTCAACTTTCTCTGGATATAAAATGGGAGGCTAACATACCCACATCTCAATTGCTCCAAAGGCGAAAAGGGAAAGTGAATAGCAAAGCTATTCTAAACCTGGAGATTTGGAGAAGTGTTGCAGTATTGCAGAGGGAACTACATTGAAAAACCACCATAGGCTCAGTGCCCATAGCTCAGTGGTTAGGACACTGGCCACATACATTGAGGCAGGCGGGTTCAAACCTGGCCCGGACCTGCTGAACAGTGACAACTGCGACAAAAAAATAGCTGGGCATTGTGGCAGACGCCTATAGTCCCAGCTACTTGGGAGGCTGAGGTAAGAGAATTGCTTAAGCTCAAGAGTTTGAGGTTGCTGTGAGCTGTAACGCCATGGCATTCTATCAAGGGTGACATAAACATAGTGAAACTCTGTCTCAAAAAAAAAAAAAAAAAAAAAAAAAAAGAAAAAGAAAAAGAAAGAAAAAAGAAAGACAACCACACAAGGAATCTAGTTAGGGTAAAGGCAAATTGAAGAATGGTGAAGTGGTTAGACCTGGGAATCAGAAGACCTGAGACCTTGCCAATCAAGGCTGTGTGACAAAGCAGTAACTTTAGCTCAGTTTTGGAAACTGAACACCTCCTATGTGCAAGGCTCCATCCTAGGTCCAGGAGCCGGGAGTCAATGATCAGAAGCTGGAAGCTCATTGCAAGCAGAAATCCCTTCCCAGACCTGAGAAGTCTTACTGCCACCTACTGAGACTTAGAACAATGAAAAGAAGTTAAACCAAAGGCCCCAAACCCATGTAGTCCATTTGGAAGGATCTGCAAAAAAAAAAAAAAAAAAAAAAGTCAAAGAAACAAAAGTTTTAGTCTTTGGGATGGGGAAGCACCATGTTATAGATCAGAACATGACCAAGTGTCTGTGTTATAAATGCCACAGTGAGAGCTTCAGGCCTTTTTGGAAATGCGACGGTTCCTAGAAACACAGGCTCCAAGTCACAAGGTGGGGATGCCCTCCCTACTGGACAGTAAGCTTTCCCAATACCAAAGAAAAGAGAACTCAACATAACTTTTCATTCCATAAAAAACACAGTATATTTGACACTCTGGTTTTATGGTATTTCTTTATGATTGCCATTTATGATACATATATACCTGATAACACAACCTGAAATTTCATCCTCTAAGGACCTCCAAAAGAATATGGGAGTGTAGCATATACCCCTATGAAACTAGCAGTCATCTGCAGTATCCCCAAATTGCAAAATATGAATAGCTAACATTTATATACTGTGTGCCAAATACTGTTTTAAGTAAGTAAATAATACAATTATCCCACTTTACAGATGAAGGTGAGGTGCAAAGATCAAATCATCTAAGATCATGTACACTGTTAGGCTCTTAAGTCTGTGCTCTTAGAATTGATCAATGTGAAGCCTTTGGCTAGTGACTTTTGCTATTTTTTAAAAAGTGAATTTAGCTTTAAAGGTGTGTTGAAAACTAAGATTTGTATTTAGTTAATAAAGAATTATGAGTGGTGAATGTCCTGAAAGACCTAAGAGTATATAGAAGGGGAAGATCAGTTGTAGCTAGTGAGGTAGGCAGGGGGGTCAATGAAAGTGTCACAGCAGGCCTTGAAGATAAAAAACATTTGTGTCCTATACATAGTAGGAATTTAGTGAAAACAACACAAATATTAACAAAACTGATGACCCAGACGACATTAAGAAACATGCCCTCAACAAAATGCACACCGCATGTGTGACAATATTCCCACTTCGTTTAAGAGCCATGTTAGTTTGCTGTAACTTCAGGTTTGGCTGTCACATGCACGTTCTTAACAATACCAACATAGATTACAGAGACTAAAATCTAATTTTTTTTGTCTCTATGATAGACACCTTTTATTATGTCTACATGTGCAAAAATACAATAAATCATCTTTGTCAAAAGCCCCAAACCAAACCAAAAAAAAAACACAGCACTCTTGCTATGGATCCAGGAAATGGTATGACTAACAAAAATTTCCTAGCAGATGATCATGAACACTTTGGTGGACTGATTCTGGGAATAACAGTAACCCTGTTCTCATTATGCTATGGAGCCAAATTAATCAAGTTCGATAATAACACACTTAATCTATCAAGACTGATTAAGGCACACTATGATTCTAAGTTTATAGGCAGAGGAATAATCTAGGGGAAATAGAATTAAAATATTCTGTTGAACATGGAATAGTGCCATATTTATAAATTCACACTGCTAAGACTTGGAATGATTATACCATGAAAGATACAGTTTCTCTGAAAAGTAGACAAGGAGGTGTGGTGTACAGGAAGGTAGCTCAGATTCAAGACTCAAGTTTATTATTATTATTTTTTTTATAAATCTCTTTTGCACTAGATTCTAGGTTTTTTGGTTTCAAAACTAGGTCTACAATCATAAAAATTGCATAAAAGGAATCAGATTATACAAGCAGTTTGGTTACATAATGGTAGACCTGTTCTGTAAATGCTTCACAGGAAAACCTGTCCTTCACCCTGGCTCTTCCAGCCAGGCCCATAGTGGCTTTTAAGGAAGGTTCATGGATGAACCTTTCTATTGCTTCTGAGAAGTGCACTGGGTCAGGCTCACACAGAAACCCCGTGACACCGTGGATTATGGACTCCAAAGGCCCACCTGAATTAACAGCAATGACGGGGCACTGCATGTACATGGCCTCAAGAGGGACGATGCCAAAGTGCTCATTGCTTGGTGTATAAAGCACACACGTGCAGCCATGGAGAAGTGAGATTTTCTGTTTGTCTGAGAAAGACCTCAAGAAGGTCACATACTGTTCAAGGTCAGCCTGTTGGACCATTTTCTTCAACTCCTGATAGTGTTCCACATTCTCTAGGACTCTCTCATCATAACCACCTGCTATGATCAGATGAACCCTCTCCCAATCTTGGGATGTCAATTTTCCACGCAGTTGCACTAGTGCTTCCAGTGCCAAAGTCAGATTTTTCTTCCTTTCATATCTGTTGATGGAGAGGAACAGAAATTTTTTTCCCCTGGGGACTAGGTCATCAAGCTTTTCAGGAACAGCTGAATCAAAGTTGGCAACATTCAGAGATGGGTACAGGATGTCAGGGTCTATGTGAGATAGGGACTTGAATGTTTCCTTAAAAACAGTAGCTGTGAACTGGCTGTTGACCAGGATGCAGTCTGCCATGCCTGTGGTGTATTCTTCTAGCCAGTCAATTGGGGCTCTGTATAGCCGTTTAAGAAAAGAATCTCTCTTGGTGAGAAGCAGATCTGGGAAGTGACAGTAAAACAAGATCTTCTTACGTCGTCTGGCCAGCCTGAACACAGGGATACAGGCAGACACCTAGCCAAAGCAAAATCAACAGCAGATAAAAGTGACAGTCAACTCAACTTTAACCCAGACAAGAGCACAGACACCCACCCTGTCTGCTTGTCTGTGGGCTCCTCGGGGACAGTCTCTAATTCTGCTTTGTTCCCTCAGACTCTTACCAATACAGTGCCTGGGTACAGAAGGTTTGTAGACATTTGCCAGATGTGTGCTAAACATTTAAAGATTTAAGTCCAGTACTTTCCTCTTGTACAGTACTGTCCAATAGAAATAAAAAAACTAGTAACATTAAACATGTTTTAAGGCTGAAATTAACTTTTAAGTCTTATGTAAAATATTATTTCAAAATGTAATTGATACTAAAATATGTATATATACATATTTTTTGGAGATAAGAGATTCAAGCTGTCACCCTGGGTGGAGTGCGTCACAGCTCACAGCAACCTTAACCTCTTGGGCTTAAGCGATTCTCTTGCCTCAGCCTCCCAAGTAGCCGGGACCAACCCAGCTATTATTTTTGTTGCTGTTGTCATCGTTGTTTTAGCTGGCCTGGACCAGGTTCGAACCAGCCAGTCGCGGTGTATGTGGCTGATGCCCTACCCACGGAGCTAAGGGCACTGCCAATACTTAACTATATTAATGATATATTTATCTCTTTTCCAATTGTATCTTCAAAATCATGTTTCTATTTTACACCTGACCATATCTCCCTTCACGTTTTAAGTGCTCAACAGTCACATGTGGCTAGTTGATACATCTTGGATAGTTATAGCTCCAGCATTTTTCTCCTTCTAAGGAACTGAAATGAATGAACTATAGTACTCTGGAGCACAAGCTCTGGAGTCAAGGTCCACAGGCTTTGAATTTCAGCTCTGTGTGATCCAGTGATTTACCCCAATTTCCTCTTCTGTAATATGATGACAATTATAGTTCAGAGAAACTCAAATAAGTTTTATGATTATTAAATACACTGATATATGTAAGATGCTTGGAGTTTAGCACATACACACAGTCCCCAAGTTAAAAACACCTAACTTATGTATAACTCGTACTTATAAATAGAAGCTATTACAGGTAATAGGTAAACGTACCTGTTTGAATTTATATACAAATCCAACTTAAGAACAAACCTGCAGAACCTATCTTGTTGGTAACCCAGGGGCTGCCTGTAAATATTAACCACAGACAGAAGCAAGCAGGAAATAACGCTGCCATCACTATAGACTTTCTTGTTTGGTAATCTTTACAAGTCACTTAATTCCCAGCTCACTTAACACCTGAAGGCAAGCTTTAGGAATAACGTGCAGCTTATTCAGAATGACATAGTTAAAGCAGCAGACACCGAACTTGAACCCACGTCTCCCACTTCCAAGCCCAGAATCTTTTCTCCATCTACTACAGTGTGCTCACTGCTTACTGTACACCTGCAGGATGTCTGGTAAATGTATACATTACTTAAAAAGAAAGCTTCCACACAAGCAAAGATGAGCAAAAGTAACTCAGCAGTCACAATTTAATGAAACTCAAATATATGCCATTTCCATCTATCAGTTTGGGAAAGATTAAAATGGTTGATTATAACCAATGAGGAGAAGGGCATGGCAGGTTCTATCATATGTTGTGGGAGAGTAAAGTGACAGAACCCCTTTGGAAGGCAAATTTGGCAACTGTTATTGACATTTAAAATGAACTCTTTGACTCACCAATTTTAGGAATTTACTCAAAGGACAAGCTTGCAGAAGTACAAAAAATGAAGTACAAGATATTCATTATAACACTGATCTGGTTAAATATTAGTGTCCTTTAACAGAAGAATGTTTAGATCATCTATCTATCTATCTGTGAGACAGAGTCTCACTCTGTTGCCCAGGTTAGAGTGCAGTGGCATCAGCCTAGCTCACAGCAACCTCAAACACTTAAAGTTTAAGTGATCTTCGGGCCTCAGCCTCCAGACTAGCTGGGACTATAGGCACACACCACAGTTCCTGGCTCATTTTTCTAGTTTTAGTAGAGATGGCATCTCACTCTTGCTCAGACTGGTCTCAAAGTCCAGAGCTCAAACAATTCTCCCACCTTGGCCTCCCAGAGTGCTAGGACTACAGGCCTAGACCATAGTACAAAAGCGGGTTTTCCAGTTGGAACTGAGAATGAAGTGAATTTCTAACACTGAGATCCTTATACAAGAATGTTCCAAATGAAAATTTTTTCTGAAACAGAGCAAGGTGCCCAATACTAGGTATTCATAATCTCAATTATGTATAAATAAGATATACCTATAGACACATATGCTAGTGCAGCCACAGACAGCTTCCTGAAGGATACAGAAGAAACTTAACAGGGACATCTTCAGGGAATGAAATGGAAAGGGACTTTGATATTACCCCTTTCTATATACTATTAAATTTTTAGTGGAATATGTGTTACTTTTTAAAATAAATTTTTTTGGGGGGGGCGAATGTAAAAAGGAAAAAGTCTACAACAGCTATAAGGCAGATCCAGGTGGATATTATTTGCCAAGGTAAAAACGTTGGATTTTTCTCCAAAGACCAATGGGGAGTCACGTTAAAATTTTAGGAAGGGTATGCCAAATTCAGTTTATGTTTTTAACCCACAGTAAGGACAACACACAGGTTACTTAGAAGTAAAAGGTGACTGAAGTGACTTAGAATGACAGTGTTTCCTAGGATGGGCCCCAAGGCCTGCTTTGGAATCGCCCGAAGACCCAGTTAAAAATGTGCATTTTCAGGCCCACCTCGGGGCTCCAGGATGAAAACCTCCTGGAGGGAGGGGTTCTGCACTCTGCATAGCATTAACGGGTCCATACTAAAGTTCAAGAAGTACGGGCTCGCCCTCAGCCCGGGCTTCTGCAGCTCAGTTCTGATCTTTCCGAACTGCAGGCCACAGAGGTCCCTTGTCAGAGGTCACGCCCGAGGAGCACCCTCACAGTAAGGTCCGCCTCACCTGGTCGCATACGACCACATCGAACTCCTCGTCAGCGAGGAACAGCACGTAGAGCGCCAGGTACACCATGCGCACATAGGCGCAGACCGCGGCGCCGCGGCCACCCCAGCCCAGGCTGCGCGGCAGCCAGTCCCCGGCGCAGCGCACCGGCAGCTGGCGGGTCTCAGAGAAACAGTGGCCCGGGTCATAGTGCGCTGTCCAGATCTTCACGCTACACCCGCGTGCCTGCAGCGCCAGCGCCGCGTCCAGCACCAGCCGCTCGGCGCCGCCTACACCTAGGTCCGGGTGCAGGAACAGCACCGACGGGTTAGGGACCGGATCTGGGTCCCGGGCCCGCTTCTCGGCCATGGCCGGGAGCGGCACCCTGAATGTGGGTTTTCCGCGCAAGCTCCGCCTCCGGCTCCCAGTGGGCCACTGCGGGCTGACCCCGCCCGTCGTGCGTACGTCAGTTAGGCCACATCAGCCCAAATCTGTGGGCGCCTAGTAACTGCCAGAGAAAATTCCTCGACTGGACATACCTCCTTTTGGTAGGGATTGAACTCTGTGAAGGACACTATGATCCAAAAGAAGGAAATGGGAGTTCTTTACATCCCACACAGCCATTAACCAAGTCGCCTGTAGCAGAATATTTACAGGCATATCGTGGGACAACCTAGGCGTCCCTGGAGTCAGCGAGGACCCAGCCCCCGGTCTGGGGGCGGGGCCTGAGCCAGTTTCTCCAGCTACCGGTCTTTTCGGGGCTCCGCAGCGTTCCGGAGGTCCACTTCTGCACCCTGCAACCCTCCAGTCTCCAGCATGGTACGGCGGCCCCAGCACCCCGCCATTTATCCCCACCTCTGCCAGGAGGTCTTCTTCCCTTGCTTCCTCCAGCTTCCCATGCGGAAAATCAGGGCCAGAGTCTCGGGGCAGGCCCGCCGGGCTCACCCGTCGTTCTTCTTGTCTCCCTCTACAGCCCGGCCCGACCCCCAGTGGCACTAACGTGGGTTCTTCAGGACGCTCTCCCAGCAAAGCAGTGGCCGCCCGGGCTGCAGGATCCACTGTCCGGCAAAGGTAAGGCTCCCTGCGGCCCATTCGTTCGCAGACTCGAAGAGATGGGGCATAAGAATTCGCTGACTCTGAGGAGGAAACCCCAGGATATTAAAATTCACAGAGAGTGGGAATTGGTGGCTCATGCCTGTAATCCTAACATTTTGGGAGGCCAAGGTAGACGGATTGCTTAAGGTCAGGAGTTCAAGATCACTCTGAGCAAGAGTGAGACACCGTTTCTGCGTAAGCTGGAAAGATTTTGTGGGCATGGTGGCGCGCCCCTATTGTCCCAGCTACTCGGGAGGCTGAGGCAGGAGGCTCACTTTGAGCCCAGGAGTTGGGAGGTTGCAGTGAGCTATCATGACGCCACTGCACTCCTGTTCCCCACAAAAGATTCCTAAGGGCAAAATGAGGTTGTGGTGACGTGGCCGTGTGAGTAAAGGCATCTTGAGAGAAAGGCGATATTTTGTTCTTGTTGTTTGATTACAGGCACTGCTCTTAAAACTGGATAGGGTGAGAGACTAAAGCTGATGTCTTTAAACTAGTGTCTCTAGATGTGACCTTTGCAGTTATATTTCCATCTGGAGACCCCATACACAATGTGGTAACTGTTAAACTGAAAACTAAGTTTCTTTGCACCCCAATTCCCAGCTCCCAGCCACCAGGTATATCTCCTCACTTCCATGTGGCACTACTCTACTTTCTTTTATCCAGCTCTGAAACTTCAGCATCATCTGGGATTTTTCTTATATGCCCTATCTATCCAGTTATATGCCAAACTTTAAATTCTACTTAAAACCACCTCACTTCTTTCCTAGTTCATTTCTACTACCCGAATTTAGTCTTCAAACATTCTTACCTACTTATGTAAGAGCTAACTCTTCTCTTCACGCCCTTTCCATTTTAGTCCATCTGTCACTGTGATGTTACTGTACTGCTTAGTTTTTTTTAAGAGACAGAGTCTTACTTTGTCACCCTGGGTAGAGGGCCATGGCGTCACAGCTCACTGCAACCTCCAACTCTTGGGCTTAGGCAATTCTCTTGCCTCAGCCTCCTGAGTAACTGGGACCACAGGTGCCGGCCCAGCTACTTTTTTGTTGCAGTTTGGCTGGGATCAGGTTCGAATCCACCAACCTCAGTATATGGGGCTGGCCACAGGCTCTGAGTCACTGAGCCATAGGCGCCACCCTCTGTTGCTTAGTTTTAGTGTTACTTTTTTGTTATTGGATTACAGAAAAACGTGGCGGTAGAATACCAAGGCTCATGGTGGTTCTTTCAAGCTATCCTCTCTCTCCCCTCTCTCCTGTGATCTAGCACTGGTGAACTTATTCTTTTCTGAACTCACTTTCTCCCCCACCTCAAGGAAATTTTCTGTTTGTTTTCCAAGACTAAGCTCAGGGGTTATTTCCTTTTGAGGCTTTCTTTGGCTTTGCAAGCAGCAGTTAATTACTAGTTTCCCCTTTTGCTCCTGAAGCATTTTCTTTATGCCATTGTAAGGCCATTTGTGTTTCCATATTTATCTTGTTAGGCCTTAACAAAGTCAAAGAAAAAGAAACCTGCTCAATTGTCTCTTTCCAGCATTTACCATAAGGCCTGGCACAATAAATGATGAATGAAGGAAGGAATCATACAACCTGTTGTCATGAATTTTTGAAGGAACTAATGAGGTTTTATCTAGATTGGAAAAGACTTTGAAAGAACAGGAAACTACCTTTAAGGATGTGAACTGAAATGAGGCTTTTCTTATTAGCTACAATAGGTAAATTAAAACTGATAAACCTACACATAGCAAAGAAATTGTGATAGAACCATCAAAAATGCTAAGATTAGGGCCAGGCACAGTGGTTCACACCTATAATCCTAGCACTCTCGAAGGCTGAGGTGAGTGGATTTCTTGAGCTCAGGAGTTTGAGACCAACCTGAGCAAGAGTGAGACCCTGTCTCTAAATAGCTGGGTGTTGTAGTGGGTGCCTGTAGTTCCAGCTACTCAGGAGGCTGAGGCAAGAGAATCATTTGAGCCCAAGAGTTTGAGGTTGCTGTGAACTATGACGCTATGGCACTCTACCAAGGGTAACAAAGGGAGACTCTGTCTCAAAAAAAAAAAGGCTAAGATTATCCTTAATGATTGTGAGTTTTCTGTCACTGAGGTGTTCAAGAGAAGTGTATCATCAAGCTGTTTTGCCTTATGGGCTTGTAGTGCCATTCCCATCATGGACTCTAAAGAGCATGGAATCTAAAGATGCTTTGCAGGAATGGAGTACATGTCCTGTGGGGATGATGGGGAATGGTTCTGGTTAATGAGAATTGATGGTACTGTGACAAGGAAGTGTGGTCATCTGAGAATTTCTAAAGAACAAAAGAGAGAGTACATATTTATCAAATGTAAATATATTAATATTAATGAAATAATAAAAATGAAATAAATGATACACAACTAAAGTAGAGAACTTAAAACATTTAAGGACAGATGAAGCTTTTAAATTTGTGGGGTTTGATGTCATCTTTTAGGATTCGGTATGATGGAGCTAGTGTAACTAGACAGGCCCTGGTTGTATATATTGAGAGACCTGACAGTGTTTCCTTCTAGAAATTTTGGCAGTGGTTAAGTATTATTTCACAAGTGTAATGTAGTAAGTATTAATTGTCTAAGAATATACCTTTGCTTTATAAGTCTTTGAGAAAACATTAAAGCTAATGGTTAATAATAATGTTTTGGATTATGTAGTCTGCAGACTTGCATTCTTCATGGTCAGTGAGGTAATAGAGTCAGTACCATCGGGGAATAAACAGTGTAGGATTTAAGGTCAGGCTGGGGTTGGAGTAATGTAAAAGGAAGTTGCTTTGAGGATGAAAAGGAACAAGAATGCTTTATAAGCTGTGAAGTGCTCCATGGTGTTCCAGCAGGGTTGATGAGACTTAGGGATATTATGAGGGAGGAATAGTCAGGGTGTTAGGACAGTCATCACATGGTTATTAAGGACCTACCACATGCTGAGTTCTCTTCAGCTCTGAGGATATATATGTTAACAAGACAGGATATATGTACAAACAAGAAAGGCAGATTTGTCCTCAGGACCCTTATATTCTAGTGTGGGAAACCATAAGCAAGAAAATAAGTAAATGTAATAAGTAAATGTACAAGTAAGTAAATGTAACAGAAAAAATAAAGCTGGATGGGGAATAGAGAGTGGTGGGGAGGGGTGAGGATAGGTAGCTGTTTTATATAAGGTGTCCAGGGTAGGTGACATTTGAGAGAGACCTGAAAGAAGCAAGGGAAGGAATCATGCAGTGATGTGGGAGGAATAGGCTTCCTAGGCAGAAGGAATGGTAAAGTGTAAAGATTCTGAGGTCGATGAGCTTGGCTTCGAGGAGCATCCAAAGGGCATCACGTTAGAACAGAGTGTGTAAGTTGTTACTTATGAAAACCATTAGGTTGAGGGATAGGAAGAGGGAGGCGGTTATAGAGTGGTGTAAGAGAAAGGATAAGATAGGCCTCAAGTAGAAATTTGAGAGATTCAAGTAGGCTTTGATTAAACTTTTCCTAGCTTCCTCTGGGGAATGGGAGGTATTTTGAAACGTGTGATATTTTGGAGTGGGGGTGGGTGGTGGTGGGGGCTGATTATTAATCCTCTGCTACATCATATGTGCTAGCAGAAGTAAGAAATCTTAAATTCTTCTGGATAATTCTAGGAGACTTTGAAGTCAAGAACTGGAGGTGGGGTGGCACCTGTGGCTCAGTGAGTAGGGCGCCGGCCCCATTTACTGAGGGTGGTGGGTTCAGACCTGGCCCCGGCCAAACTGCAACAAAAAATAGCTGGGCTTTGTGGCAGGTGCCTGTAGTCCCAGCTATGCGGGAGGCTGAGGCAAGAGAATCGCCCAAGTCCAGGAGTTGGAGGTTGCTGTGAGCTGTGACTCCACAGCATTCTACCAAGGGCAATAAAGTGAGACTCTATCTCTAAAAAAAAAAAAAAAAAAAGAACTGGAGGTGGGAGATTGTAGAATAACAGAAAGTGCATGGGTCCTAGTCTTGGATCAGCCAGTGACTTAGCAGATAAACTGGGTTTATCTTCTAGCTCAAGTTCATTTTTATAAACAAGGAGGAAACTTTCAGGTACCTGCCTCACAGATTAAATGACATGTATCTCTGTGTGTGAAAGCTTTTCTATGTGCATGAATTATTCTGTAAGTCTCCATATAGTTATGTTTGTTATTTATAATCAGTTTTCCTATATAAACAGCCATATAATGAAGTTATATAATTTCCCATGCAGCCCATAATTAATGTGTCTGAAATCAATCCTTGTAGTACAACAGATCCAATTCATTGATACTGATTGCTTTCAAAGTTCTGGCGTGAACTCCTTCTGCTGGAACTCCAGGTAGAGCTAAGACGACAGTCTCTCACTGCATCATGCAGCAGGACAAGCTCCCTGAGCTCTAGACAGTGCCTCTTGCAGAGTGTGGTGTAAAGGCCATTTTAGGTGAGGGTGGGTACAGGGACCAGGGCTGGGAGGAAAGCAAAGCAAGAGGAGATGGTGAGGATAGGGTTTTCACTTCTGTTTCTTTCCCATATGCTCTTCCCTTTCTCAAAATCCCAGAATCAGCAGCCCACAGATACTGCAGTGGGATTTGATTAATGGTGGGGGGCATCTCTCCTCCCACTTTGGACTTCTTGGGCTGAAGAAGATTGCCTGTGACTTCTCTTGTCACTTACCACTTACCCCATGTCATACCACTCTAGCACTGGAGTAAGATTGGGGAAGTGCTGAGTGGGAGGATAATGGTTGAGTGTGGTTCCCTAATGACTGAGGGCTTCTCCCAAAGAGGGCGGAAAGGATTCCAAGTTAGTTCCTGGTCAACAGAGTAAGTGCTGGTAGCCTGCTTCTGTCTGCCAGGGCTGCCTATATCATATAGCTCATCTCATGAACCTTGCTCCCCTTGCAAGGTACAAGTTTTGATTGAGTATTCTTTTTCTTTCTTTCTTTCTTTTTTTTTTTTT